GTGAGAAGTAGCTGCTAATACCAGGGTTGGGCAAGTTGCAGGAGTTTGCTCTTGAAAACAAGTTCAACTCAGTTGGGAAAGTCTTTCCAGGAAGAGTCTGCGGATGTGGGAATTAACTGGGCGTTAGGGAGGAGTAGGAAATGCTCCCCTTTTGTGACCTGTTTTTGCACTACTTAACTTACGTTCTTCAAGACAAAAGCCAATCTAAGGTTTCCTAAGACTGTGCTGATGTGCCCATCCCTTCATTCCTTGTTCAGTGTGCTCTCTATCAGCCCTGAATCAGGTGGGCACTGAAGGCTTGTTCAGGGAGATATTGTGATTATTTGGTTCTTAATGGGGAAATCTGCTGCAGGGGAAGTGGAAGAAACAAGGAAATGTTCTGTCCTCAGAGACCAAGCCTACTTTCCTTGTCATGATCCACTTCACTCAGTGGAGGTTTGAGCTGTCTAACTAAAATAGGCATGGATGCTGCCTCCACATCCCAAATTGTGGTGACGGTGAATTAGGATAATGAAAGCACATGATGCATTTAAATGCGTCACGGAAGTGTGGGCAACTGGGCCCTACAGGAGTTTAAAAATAAGTCTGTTTGGGATGAGCTTAGCAAATTTGACAGTGCTCGGCAAAGCAGAAGTACTCACCAGTTGCAAGCAGCCTGTTCCCAATCACACCTTCCAGTGTAGCTGTGGGATTCTGTTATGTGTTGGGGGAAAAAGCCCAGCATATTGCTGCTTTACTTGATTTTTTTAACAGGAATTGCAGCAAGCAAATGTAATACAGACAGAGGGGAATATATATACCTCTCTTTGTTTTTCCTGCTAGGAGACTGGGCACTGCCAGGGGAGGAAAACCACTTGATTGCTGTATTCTGGCAGCTGATCTTCCCAGATGTCATCCAGTTAGACACTGGCATGTTGATCTAAAACAAAACAAAAAAAGGTTTAAAATATTAAGGCTTAAAATATTTTCAGTGCAAAAAGAGTTGGGAAATATAATGCAGGGGTGAAAACATCAATGAGCAGGAGCCTGGTGGGGCTTGTGCTCAGGGCTTACTCTTTGGTGGCTCTGCTTGGCTCTCCTCTCCTCCAGATGAGTCATGGACACTGTTACTGCAGCAACGCTGCTGCCAAGGAGGGGGATAAAGCTGTTGCCATGGTGCTGGATGGGCAGGAATTCTGCAGGAGTAAAAACACTTAATAATTAACTTGCAGACAAGCGCAGCCTCAGACATGCCTGTGTGCTCGAGGGAAGGTGTCCCCAGCTCCCAGGCGACTGCTCTGGTTCAGCCCCTCGCTGGTCCGAGCGTGGTTGTGGGCCAAGGGAAGCGAAGCTGAGGCCATGGGAAGCTCTGCCTCTGTCAGTCTGTGGTTTGCTGTTTGGAGCTGGAGAAGCTGTGGGATGGGATCAGGAAGGTTTGGGCTGGCTGATGTGTTAGAACCTAAAGTCATCGTGTAATTAGGACATCTACCTGAGGATTGCTGAACCTCAGGGCTTAAGGCAAGGGGTTGATTTAGATTTCTGTCCTGTCTCCTCCTCTACTGTTAAGCTGTTCTATCTAACATTAGTGTTTCCTTGTGGTAGTAAGAAGGTTGAGCTTTTATCTTGTTCTCCCTGACAGCGTTGGGTACTGGTGTTAGTTTCCCTTTGTGCTGTGTTGACAGGAAAGGGAAACCTCCCTGCCAAATGCCAGAGATGCTTTGAACACAGTCCTCTCTGTTAAAGGCCAATCCTTTCAGCATTCCCTGTATGGTGGTGAAGATGGAGAGCAATAAAGATGTCCATTTAACACCTTTGTTCCTTGAACCCAGTGAGCACTTGGAGTGTTCTCCAAGTTAAGGAGATTTGCAGAGAATAAAAGGCTTCTAGGAAAGTACAGGTGCTGGATGTGCACTTCTTGCTAGGAGCAATCTTCCCCAGTGCTGACTACAGCTATCTTTGTCTCTCCCTACAGAGGGACCTGATTGCTGTAATTACACATCCCAGCATGAGGGCCTCGCTGTCTGGTACTTGCAATGTGTGGCCATTGGGATATTCTCTTACTACACCACAGCAATCTTTTATTAACTCCTTATCTATGGGATGTGCTAACCACTGCCCTTGACCAGTAACCCCCAACCATGATGTGGGATTTGTTATATCTAAGTAAGGGTTGCAATGGGTAGGTGTGATCTCTGAGTAACACATAACTTGTTTTCACAGTCGATGAATAAGCCTTAAGTGGATGGATGTATTTGAATTTTAGGAATAGGAAAGCAGACAGGAATAAGTGATCAACTCAGACTAACAGCAGGATTTAGAATTAGGATGTTCACGTATTACTTTCACCTTAACCTCCAAGTCTACAATGTGCAGATGCGCAGTTGGTCAAAAGCTAACCTGGCTTGTGTGCATGCCTTTATTTGCATGCTTTTATTTAGGATAAAGTAAGTTACTGGAGCTGCTTTCTGTGCTTGTATGTGAGTGAAAATGAAGTACCACTGGTCTTTCCCCAGAGAGGAGGCTGGTACCCTGCTCAGGAAGCCATCTCAGGGCACAGCAAGGCTGAAGCCAGAAACAATGTCTTTCTCCCAAAGATACTGACTTTGGTGGAAGCAGGGAAGGGCTTTGTTCCCAGACTGTTTTCCTACTACAGGGGAAAGCTTCAACACCGTTTTCAGTGCTGAGGAAATAGAATCCTTGCTTGGGACAAGCATCAGTGGAGAGGAGCGGCCATCCTTTGTCTGCAGAGGGCTGGAGATAGGGGAGGTGGCACAAGGGAGGACACTCCTGTTCCAATTAAGTGCAGCTTAGTGCTCACAAAGCTGCTTAGCCCTTGTGTTCTGCCAGAGGGCAGTTTTTAAACCAGGCAAAGCCTCTTACACTGAAAAGGGTAGGATTTGATGGAGGTGCTGACTATTCTCAATGCCCTGAGGAGAAACGGATGCAGAAGATGCTGGCACAGGGTTGGAAAAAGGTGATGACCTCCCTGTCCTGTCCAAGCAGGGCAGTGTGAACATTCAGACCTGAGACTGGCTTCGTAGATACCACTTTTGGATCACAAACAGCAGTAGTGGAGATGCCTTTGGGCTGCTCTCCCTGCTGGCTGTGACCTCTAAGGAATAGCCAGAAATACCTTGGTAGTTGTGGGCAACCTTTATTTAATTTCCTTTCCTCTGCAGATTATCTGTGCACTCCTGAGGAAAATGTTTACAAGATAGACTTTACCAGGTTCAAAATCCGGGACATGGAATCTGGCACAGTCTTGTTTGAAATCACCAAACCAGCAGCTTCAGGTGAGTGCACACACAACATATTGTTTTCATGGAGAAACAAACACTAGTCTCTGCTTCCTTTTGCCTTTTCCTACTCATTTTACTCAATACATTCCCCCAAAACGGGAGATGCTCTCAACTGCAAGAGGGCTAGAGGCCCAGCTTGCACCAAAGTATTATTCAGGTGTCCCTTTGTACCAACACAGTGAACAGAACTCCTTGCTGCTGTAGTCATGATTACCATCTGTGATGAGAAGGGACAGATGGGTGTTGTAAACAGAAACAGAGGAGGAGGAGGAGATCACTGCGTGTTCGTTTCATGGCTGTTCATCAGCTAGAGTCCCCCTGTGCATGGTTTAACTGGAAGTCTAATATCTTTTCCTCAGGAATCAGGAAAATGGTATTTCCAAAAGGGTCAAACTTTCTCAATTGTGCAAATTAGACAAACTGAAAAATTGCCTTTTTTTCCTCTTTTTCATAATCTTTAGGTGTTATTTATAGCCATCAAAGTGTTACCTATTGCCAGTGGAGATAAAACCCCAGGGCAGCTGCTCTTTTCCTGATCAAGCACTCTTCTAAGAAGTTTTCTGGAAGTTCTTTGTAGCTAGCAAACCAGACATGCTAAGGTGAAATGGTTTGTTCAGTGCCACACTGCAGTCCTGAATCAGAGGCAGGAGCAGTAGGTCACTTCAGAATACAAGAAGTGCATCAAACGAAAGGGCCATCCTCTGTCTCTGGGTGACCAGCAGTGGATGCCTTAGAGAGGATCAGGCTTTCTCAGAAGAGTTTCCTGGCTTTTATGACTCAATAACGTGTGACTGAGGGTATTTTCACTGGGTTTCTGTTTCTCAGACTTTACTTTGTGCTTTTCTAGAACGTGAACACAATGACAGGAAGGACATTGATCCCAATGCTGGACGCTTTGTTCGCTATCAGTTTACTCCAGCTTTTCTTAGACTTCGGCAAGTGGGAGCCACGTAAGTAATTGCTCCTCGGCTACTTTTTCTAGTAAAGGAAACAACTGAAATCCTATTAAAAAAAGGCTCTGACTTGTTGATCCTGTCAGGAAGTTGATTTAATAGGGACCTTGTGTTGTTATGAGGATTTCCAAGCCTCTTTGCTGGATGCTTTGCTTTCTCCATCCCTTTAGCTTGTTTATTTACCTCTGGAATAGGCATGGCATTGAAGAGATTAGTGTTCAGAGGTGCAAAATAAGGTGGACAGACTACCCAGACATTCCAATGCTTTTCTGTGCATTATAGTTTGTCAGAGGCTCTGCCAGCTTCACAAGATGTGTCTGCAGCCTTCCCTATTGCATTCCCAAAGAATGCAAATAATCCATAAATGCACATGAAATGCTGAAGTAATGTTGGATACTTTATGTACTTGAATTATCTTTGATGTGTCTGGTAGTACTGCTTGCATCCATCAATAAACCACACCATGGAGATTGGGCTTCTTTTTAATGCCCACCAAAGTAACTTGTATCAAACCCCAAAGTGATAAGGAACTGGTAGTGAAGTGCCTATGATGTAGCTGTAGGGATCTTTCCTTCACTAAAGATGAGCTTAATTGTAAAATTGTCTTGCATTTGTCTTTTGAGTACTTGAGTAAAAAGAGTCAAGCTATAGTATAATCTATGATTTGTAATGCTCTGTTGTGTCTGTGTAGCATGCTTTAAGAAAAAGAGGAAATGATGATTTGATCAGTAGCATTGCTTTATGTTTTTGTCTGGTGTTTGTTTTAGAAGAGCTCTCTCTTCTACCTCTCAGCAATGGTTGCGAATCTTGCTTAAGTGAGAAAGCTCATTTCAATCTTCTCCTTCTTTTCCAGGGTGGAATTCACAGTAGGAGACAAACCCATTAATAACTTCCGCATGATTGAGAGGCACTACTTCCGGGATCAGTTGCTTAAGAGCTTTGATTTTGAATTTGGGTTCTGCATCCCCAGCAGTAAAAATACTTGTGAGCACATCTATGAGTTCCCACAGCTCTCCGAGGATCTCAGTAAGCTCTTTAATTACTGGGTGACCACGCAGTGATGCTAATCTGGGGTGTTTTGAACAAGGCCTTTTCCTAAAAGCTGGCTGTAGAAAGTGGGTAGGAAGAGGACTTCCAGGTAGTTTCGCATCCGTGTTAATGCAGATTTTGTCTTCTAGTAGCACGTGTCTCATCACCCACCAGACAGTTGCTGGGAAGCTTCAGTGTCAGGGAGAGAAGATAATTGTGTTATAAAACAACTAAGGAAAAAAAAGAGGATTAAAAAGACATCCAATAAATGGATGGCTTAAACATTATGTTCTGGTTTAATGTTTGATGCGCTGTATTGATAACTTGAGAGTTCGTAGTAGGAACATAACTTTTATTTTCTCTCCTCTCTTCCAAGATACAATAGCAGCAGTACTAAATCTCTGTGATCTGATATTCTTTACAACCCCTAATCACTTATGTCAGCACTGATATGGCAGTGTGTGGAGAAAACAGCAGTGCACTGCTGCTTGCTTACTGTCACACCTGAACCAGTTTCTTTTGTGTTGCCATTTAAAAGCAAACGCAAATCCCCACTCCAAACTCTAGTGTGGTATTGTTTTGAGGTTAGGTAGAGCACATACATTTGGTATGGTGCCTTAATGTACTTTGGTTATGTTTGAGTTCTCTAAAAGATAAATGTCAATGAATGATTTGGTAGGTTTCTGGTTTGGTTTTTGAGTTTGCTGTGATCTGAGCAGTGCTATTAAATGTAATGAACCCCCGTGCAGAGCGTTGCCCTCAGTGAGGCTTCTGTGGAACATGATTAATTTATATGTATTTTTTATTTCCCCCCCTGTAGTTCGAGAGATGATCCTGCATCCATATGAGACACAGTCGGACAGTTTCTACTTTGTAGACAACAAGCTCGTGATGCACAACAAGGCAGATTATTCCTACAGTGGAGGACCTTGAGCACAGGATGGGCAGCCAACCCGAGCTGGCCTTCCCCTTCCTATGAAAGCCGTCAGGGATAGCAACACCTCCAGTTCCGTTGCCTACAACGTCAACTGGACAAGGATCCACAACCCAAGGACTCTTTGCCACAGTAGGAGTTTCATGACTAAATTTGCCAGTCTCATCTTTATCGAGCTTTGAAGCAGACCCAGTTCTTCAGAACTTTAAGCGGTTCTAAATGGTCTTTGGATACCACTTCCCTAAGTTCTTTCAGTGTCTGCTCTGAAAATGGCCTTGTGGGACCAGAGGGATTTTGCCCTAATTCTGTGGATTTGTGTTCTTGCCCTCAAATATCTTTTAGGACATGGTTGCTTTTGTAAAGAATGTGATCTGAGAAACCACCTGAGTGGATGGATGCAAATGCAGAGTTCTGTTGATTTGTTTCACTGGGTCAGTTTCTCTTGTACATCCCATTGAAAATGTCAAGTGTAACATAAGAGCAAGTTTCATCTTTAGATTAGTTCTCTAAAATTGATATTTCATCCTTCAGGTTTGGTCCTTCAAGTAATATTCTGTTTAATAGTGGAAACTTGCAGTGAAGACTGATAGTTCAGTGACAGAGCTGTTTTAAATCAGGTACTGTCCTTTTACATTTCAGATGAAGGCAAAATAGCACTGAGGGTTTACAAATCTCCATAAGCATTTTCCACTGATTTCAGTTTTTCCAAAGTGATTGCAGAATAATCAGAAAAAATGGAAGGATTTTAGCTTTATTTAACATTTTTACATAGCTAACACTCAGCCTATTCGTGCTATATGTTTTCCATGTCAATTTTGTTTCATCTCTGCTCAATACTAAGATAAGGGCTTCAGCACTGCTTGTTAGAGCAATGCTTTCATTTGTCTAGGGCAGTTGGAGAGTGTTGGAATTTCCAGTTTTCCGTTTGTATCTGAATTTGAAGAATGTTATGACAGTGTTTTCCCTTTGTTAAAAATGTTTTGCATTGGGTATTAATATAGGTGAAACACTAAGTCTAATAATGTTAGTCTTACTGTCTAACATTAGGTCTAATATAACAAGTCTATAATGTAGGACTTTATGCACAGCAAAAATTGAGCAAGAGCTCTCTTTTCAGACTCTAAGAAGTTTAAGACCATTTTTTTCCAAGTTTCTCAGCACGTGCTTCTTAGAAAGACAGAAGTGCAAAGAAGTAGCAGCATCAAAGGAGTAAACTAGTGTATGCAAAGCAAAAGCTGAGAAGGCTGTGGGGGGGTAGCCTGCTGTCATGAAACCCTTACTCTAAAGTTTAAACCAATAAAAGGCAGTTGCAGTTTGTAGATATTTCTATAAATACTTGATGTCTCCATGTCTAATTCTGTGAGTTGAAGTGGAACATTCTATGTTAGCCTCAGATAGGTGTGATTGTAATGATTTTTATAAAATACCATTTCCAGTCGTGCATCTTTCTAGTCACAGCCTAAGGCAATTGGAACTGCAAACGGTTCCAACTGTAGCTGTCTGCCTAAGAGCAGGAAGGGGTTCGTGCTCTTTTTGGGCTTGTGGTCACTATTAAATGTGTTACCATTTGTATTTGGCTTGGCTTTCTTTACTTCTGAGAGAGGATCCAGTTTTCTAAAGAAAATGCAGTGAGTTTAGTACAGCACAGAGGTTTTTTTAAGATTCATAGCTAAGAAATTACGTAAAGTTCACAGATTTTAACACAACTAGTATCTTGTAATTAGCACAGCCAGACTTGTATTTATCACTATTTTTTGTCTCTAGTATTAAATCATGCAATTAGCTTATGGCTTATCTGAGAGTAGAAGAATTTCCTCAATATTTGTACGATGCTTTGAACTACTGCTCAGTAAGTTTTATAGCACAATAATTACTAAAGGTGAAAGTAGTTTCCACAAGTCTAGGTTTTTCCCCCACCCCTCTTCATTTTTTGCATCAGGGCTGTTAAACTATCTGTGTATTCAATGACATTCTGCAAGTTTTAAGTATTTATGAATTTTGTTCCAACTCTTGAAGGAGAAAATACACTGATTTGAAGACAGAAGAGAGTGTGTGTGTTCACAACTAGCACCCTATACAGGTTTTTGGGGGGTATCTTTCAACTCTCACTTGCTGCTTGTAATAATCACTTCTGTGCATAAGATTTTCAAAGCTGTGTAGCAATGGTGCTTGCCCTGAATTGCCAGACATACGTTTGTTTTTTCAAATGTATGGATGTTTTAAAGGGAACTATAAATCTTGGTATATATTTGGTGAGAGCAGTCGTACTTTGGTGCAGATTCTTGGGTTATTGTACTGAGTATCCTCTCTGTACAGCGTATCATTGTTAGCTGATCTGAGAGAGTCATCTCCTTTTTTATGCTACCTCCTTTTAAGACTTTGGACTTCAAAACCAAAAGTAATTCCATAAAAGTATTACTGTGATCAACAGAAACCTGAGTGGTAGATGTGCCCCTTTAAAAATGAACCTAGAGTAAGTTATCTTGTTCCCAATAGTGCAGCATGTTGCTGAATGGACTTCTGACACTCTGCATTTTGTGGTAGGTTTGAGGTTACGAGAATGAACTACCTGCTGCTGCTGTCTTGTTTTCTGCTGTTCTGAGAATTCAGGTTCTAAGGGTAATAGTTTCAGGCCAACAGAGAATTCAGCATGAATCATATAGGAAATATCTTATTGAGTGAATTTGGTGTCTTCTATTATTGGGAATACTCTAAACCAGGAAGAAATAACGGACATTTTCAATAAAATAAATTTCTACTTATTTTAGCGTTAGCTTTTCAGTTTGAAGAATTTTACTTTGTTTTAAGTCCCTGCAGTTTGCTACAAATAACAAGTCTGGATTCTTAAACCACAGCAAATAACAAAACTTTCTGTGGGGAGTGTAACGAAGGTGCTTTTTTCTTTATTCTACTACAACAGTTATCACTGTTATCTCTCTGTTTCACATAGAAACACTTTGTTAGCAACTTTTTAAGGTCACCTACACCCATAATGTTTACAAACATGTGGGAATCACTGTCCAAGGGAGAGGTGCCATTCCTTTCTCCCTGCTTACGCAGCAGTATCATGTGTAGGGTTGACAAGAGACGTTATATTGTGTACATAAACAGCACTAGAAGAGTGTTTCTTCAAAGACTTTTGCAGTGCAGTTGCTGTTTAATGCCACTTCTGTCCTTGTTTTGCATGAAATCTATGTGCAATATTTAATGTTAAAGGCCACGATTTGTACAGCACTGAACAACAACTTCCATCTGAAAGGGAGCTGAGAGCTCTCAGGTCAGTTGTAAAATGAAACCCACTTACCCCCCCCTTAAATTGGCAGCTGATTTTTATTCTAAACCAGTTGAAAATCAAACTTAACAGCATTGTTCACAGAAGAATTTGTTAATCTCCTTGACTAGTTATTAGTTTGTATTTTAAGATTAATCATTCCTGGGTTTACTTTGGAAGTTCATCTCCAAAATCACCAAATATTGGCTCTGGAAAAAGAATTCTTTGCATTTTAAAAACTATTTTAATTAGCACAAGGGCTCTGTTTTAAGAAGGCAGTCAGGAAATTCGGGATCTGCCTTTCTGAAAGTGAAAGAAAACATCCAAGAGCTAACCAAGATTATCTGCTAATAATGACTTGCTGTTTCCTGTCATAAGACAGGATTAGACGTGTACTTTATGAGTCAATCTTGGAAAAAGAAACTAAGTCTCTGTGAGTGCTAATAGTGACATAATTTTTCTGAGACAAGGAAATTATAACTCAAGACAATTCTTCTGCTTTCTCAGTTTTGGATTCCAGTAAACTTCAGGGGTTTAAAAGAAAAGCAACTATAATACACCTGTGGTTAACTGCCATGCTCACAGTCTCTGTCTGTCTTCTTTCGAGCAGAGTAGTGTGGCTGTGTGTGAAATATTGCAGGCCACCAAGTTCCAAATTCCTTCATTTTGAGCAAACAATCTTTTAAGGTTTATTGAGAAATAGTGCTACATGTTGATCCCTAAAAACAGAATTCCAATCTTCAAGACAAAAATTAAAGGGAACTCTTAATTCATGCAAAGATTATTTGGGGCCTATTTGAGGTGAGAAAAGGCTGAAATCCAACTTTTGTACTTAGTATTATAAAAATGTTCTGTTTAGTATTCATAACCTGAAAAAAATATGGTTAACAGCTCCATTTTAATTAGATCTGGTTAGAAATCAAACTATTGAGATTATTGCTATCCTTTACAGGAGCCTAGGAGAGCGACTAGGACTGTATGTGTCGCACAAAGCTCAACAGGTTTGCCTGTGTTGACTCAAGTGGTAAAAGTTATCTTGGGGAAACAATAAGGGAGAAGGACAAGGACATGAAAAGAATTAATTTCATCTAATCAGAACCATGAGCTTTAAAGCCATGGTAAATGTGTAATGTTTTTTTCCCTTGAGTTTGAGACATCTGGTAGTGTCCGTTAGCAGTTCTTTTCCATACTCCCAGAGTAAGCACTACCTAATTTTATACAAATGTTTTAATATTAATCAGATATTAAATCTCACTGACAGCTCGTATCCTTTTCTAAAGGTGGAGAGGGTGCTACTGTAGGCCTCAAGCTGTAGCTCAATTGTTTCCTAAATCACAGCCTAAGCGGGTGAAATCGTGTGTTTGTGTATCTGTTCACAAGCTGTAGTTAACTGCCTCCCTAGAATCACTGTGTTAATGCCTGCTGTGATGTCTGCTTGTGTCTTAATGCTACACTGAGAAAACCTGTTTGAATGTGACATTGACTTTTTTTGCATAGAATCAGAGTTGTCTGTATTAAAATGTATTTATAAAAAATATATTTTTTGTGGAAGGAAAGTAGGATTCTAGTTAATATACCACTGGGAAAAATGTTGGGAACATTTTTACCCAGTTCATTTATAATTCTTTGTATCTTGTTAGTTACCTGACTTGTTTCCTATAAGAACATCCACTACGGCCCGTTTCAAGGCGAGGCAATGCAATGCACTGTCATGCAGAGAATCTGGTT